CTCTCTCTCCCTTTCTTGTACTTCCCATCTCATTTGCATCTTAAATATTATTTGTTTTGAGTCACTTGATTAGTTTCTTTATGTTGCTTTGAAAGTGGTGTGGGGAGCGATGCAAAGTAGAACGTTAATTTAGGATCAGTTGTAATATCATAATGTATTTATGGAGGTGGAAAAGTATTTATTTATACTGAGAGCCAAGGTGGCTTACAAAAGGCAATTAAAACAAACAAATAAAATACTTATAAAGTCATAAATGGGAACCAGGGTGTCATAGTGGCTTGGGTGGATATTGAGATACTAGGGTTTGAATCTCTGCTTAGCCATGAAAACCAATTGGGTGATCTAGGGCAAATCACACACACTCAGCTTCAGAAAACCCATAATAGGTTCAGGTTGTTATAAGTCAGAAACAACTTGAAGGTATACAACAACAATGTAGTCATATATAAAAGCAAACAAAAAGCTATTATTGAGATGCAGTTAAATCAGCTATAGAATTAAAAAACAATTAAAATGAACCAATGAAACATCTAATGTGATTTTTAAATCATCATAGACCTTTAGGAATCACAGAATCATAGAACTAAAAGAAGAGACAGGACAATCAAGTCCAACCCCCTGCCATGCAAGAACACAGAATCAAAGCACTCCCAACAGATGGCCATGCAGCCTCTTTTTTAAAAACTTCAAAGAAGGAAACTCCATCACTCTCCAACTCAGTGTATACCTTACACTTAATAACAGAAATCTGTCTATGGTTGTTGAGAACAAAAATAGCAATACAGCAAGTTGTGATAAGGATACAAAGCTCAATCCTATCATGGAAGGTCTGTCAGGGCCCTTCCAGCATGTGAACCTGTGGTTATACCACTACTGAAAGAGACACAAAACTGGGCTTACACATCCTATGCATTAATATCAGCCTGGAGTCAGCCTGGTCCCTGGCATATCCTGATGAGTTCTTGAAAAGCTAGTCTTTCAGAGCTGAGCAGTACCCCAAATACTCTGCCTTCAGCACATCACAAACCAGTCCACAACATTTGTCCCCTGACTACAAATGTAACTACAATGCAATTCCCATCCACTTTTATTAGTACAGCAGATAAATAATTCATACCTTCCAGTGAAATAAGAGAAATGTACTCCTTGGAGTAACTGTGGCCCCAGGGCCTTTTTACATCTGCTGATCCTTCCAAAATTACTGGGGGGGGGGGTGATTTCACTCTCAAATAGCCAAAAACAGCCAAATTTTCAGACAAACTGCTATTCTGGAGTAGCAATCCCATACTCTCCAATTTTTCACAGATGAAAACCAGGATATGTGTAGCCAAACAACACCTGAGTGTTGCCAAGATGGCAAAAGTTATTAGTAAAGGGGGGGGGACATTCAAGCTGGGGAGGGAGCAGCACTTTGCTTTTGTCTGAGCCTACTGGGAAAGGCAAAGTTCACCTTCCCCTTTCTTTTCCACCCTGCTATGTTAATTGAGTGCAAACTCTGTTTGCATTTTAACTCATTTTGCTGCAACTGAAGTAAGGTAAGGACAAAGAGGGAGAGTAATAGGAAAGAGAAGTAGAGACATTTTAAAAGCAGCTGAAAAATGGGATGACAGACTGTCTCTACCAGCTTGGGGTAGTTGGACAATGTGCAACCCCCAGGCTCCCTCATGTGAAAAAAAATGTGCCTGAAATCATAAGACAAAGAGGAAGAAATTTCAGGTTTCATTTTTGTACAAAAGCTGGCTGAAAATGGGGTAGCTCAAATAATTTTGGCCACTCATGTGGCTTGCCATTCCTGCCTTGGAGCTTCTGGTGTCTTTTTTCCCCCAAATCTGTTTTACTACTGTTTCATCTGTTTTCATTTGCTTTACTACCAGCTGTTTTACTTCTGTTACAATTGTCAAGATTGTGTTCAACATCGGAGCAATTTCTGGTTTCATTTGTAAGTTCCCACAAGTTTGATTTGATTTTAGAAATGTGGGGTATAAATGTCTCAGTAAATAAATGTGTGATGTGAGTGCTCCATAAATACCTCTGTACACTCATAGGCCTCAGTTGCTCAGTTTAGACCTTTCCAAAATGATAAAAGGGTAGAATGAGGATGAAGGATGGTGCAACCATGTACCTTCCTGCTCATATGTCTACTGTCCTCCATTGGCTTCCATGAAGCTTGCTGGCAGGAAAACAGGCATACAATCACAGTTTCTATTAGGCTTTAGCATTATGGTTTTTTTGCTGTTGTTCTGTGCCTTCAAGTCATTTCTGACTTATGGTGACCCAAAGGGAAACTTATACCAGGGTTTTCTGAGGCTGTGAGTGTGTGATTTGCCCAAGGTTACCTAGTTTATTTCCATGGTCAAGCAGGAATTCAAACCCTGGTCTCCAGAGTCATAGTACAATGCTCAAACCACTACACCAGGGGTCAGCAACCTACAGTCCACGGGCTGGGTCTGGCCCACCAAGGCCTTTGGACTTGCCCATGGCTGGTCCTGCCACCACTGCCTTTGGTGCCCACACTTGCATGCACATGCAAAAATAAAACCCAATATTAGCAGCAATGAAAGTAACTGGAAAATTAATCACTGAAAGTCTATGAAAGATCAAAAATAATATGTTATTTTTCACAGTTGAAGATAATACAAATTACATTTTCTGGTTGTATGAATAGAGTAGTAAAATTATACATAAGACAAGGGGTTGGGCATTCCAAAATGGTGCCTGCTGTCGTGAGCATGCGTGCGCAAGCACGGGCGCCATTTTGGATGCCCAAGGTTACCAGCCCCCAGTGTCATTTCCCCCTCCCCTCCTGGCATCCGGCAAAAAATGTTGCCGACCCCTGCATAAGACAATGCTACCTGATTCTTTAAAATACAAGCAAGCATGGAGATACCAGGGATTGAATCTGATATCTTTTGCATATTAAGCTTGACTGCTGATGTGTAACCCCTCCCAAGAAAGATCTCAGCATATTTAAAGACACAATGGTGTTAGCATGCAGTAAGCAAAAATGGACTGAAGGATTTATGTGTGGAGGATTTCATGTAATGCCCATTTGAATTTCTTGGGCTCTCCTTAACTTTTTCAGTATGTATGATTATGTGAATTTGAAAAGAAGAAGGAAGAGGAGGAGGAGGAGGAGTTGCCACTACAGCAGAGATAGTGAGTAGAAATGTAGATAAAAATGGACTCACACATATATCAGCTGTTGGCTTAAAAACAGAGCCATAGAACATTGCATTAGGAGCACTGTACAAGTCTCATAGTTATTACTTGGTAGGTTGCCTCTTGAGTGGCAAATTAGAATTCATTCAGCTAGAACTGTTGCAATGATGCCTCTTCAGGGTTTGCAGGCCCAGATAGTTGAAGTACATTACATACTTTCCCATACACTCATGCTTTCACATGACTCAGTATTAGAACAGCATGAAATCATCTGTTATGTGTTCACTTCAGTTCTATCTAACCTTACACATTAATCTTCAGCTCCGTTTAGGTTTAATCAGTACCGCTACACTTTAGATTGGAGTCTTATGCAGCTGCCACAATTTAGCAGAAAATGAACAGGTAACACTTATTCAGAGCTTGATTCTGGAGTTTGCACAAAACTGTTTTAGCCTCTGCTGAAATTTTGCAGTAGGATACACACCGACTTTGTTCTGTTTTGCTACAATGTCTTACCAGATGAAAGATAGCAATTCTTGTTGAAAATCTCACTCCTGCAAAAACTGAGTTGTTGTTTTTTATCTGTTAAGCATTTCTTCATGGAAGAAAATGCAGCCTGGGTTAGCTCTACTTTCATTAGAGAGCTAGACTTGGACCCCATTTTTCTTTCTTTGGTATGTCCAGTATTTAAACATTCTTTGGGCCTTTGCAGACTGCCAGAAATAGTGCACATTAAATTGAGGCACTGCCCTGGCTCAGTGCTAGGGAGTCATGGGAATTGTATTTTTTTCTGAGACATTGAGCCTTCTCTGTCAGAGAGCTCTGGTGCCACAATAAATTACAGTTCCCATGATTCCCTAGCACTGAGCCAGGGCACTGCCTCAATTCAATGTGCACTATTTCTGGCAGTCTGCAAAGGCCCTTTCTTTAGCCCCCTGTAGCCTTCCTCTGAACCCTGCAAAATCTGTTCTTCTTTGACAATTGACTCTTAGAAAGATGTGAAGTATGGAGGCTGCAGGTATGGGAGCATTTGGTGAAAACTGTCTCCTTAAGCAAACTGGAGGGTTAATTTAAGATTTACATCAATGCAAAGATTTGCAGGAAACTGGCCTTCATGCAAGTGGTAAAGCACCTGTTCTGCAATCAGAAGATTGCATTTTGTCAGCCTGTCTTGGAGGAAACATTAAATTGATCATTTTTTAAAAAAAGGATGCTGCACAAAGATGGTGTCTTCCATTAAAGGAGATCTGAATCAGTGCTTGGAAATGTAATGTTTTCTTAGGCTACAACTACCAGTTTGTTGTTGCTGCTGTTGTTGTTGTGTGCCTTCAAGTTGTTTGTAACTTATGGCAACTCTAAGGCAAACCTGCCATGGGGTTTTCACAGCAAGATTTGTTCAGGGGAGCTTGCCATTGCCTTCCCCTGCAGCTGAGAATATGTGACTTGACCAAGGCCACCCAGTGGGATTTCATGGCTAAGCTGTGAGTCAAACCCTGGTGTCTAGAAATGTAGTCAAACACTCAAACCACTACATCATCATCATCATTGTTGTTATTATTTGATTTATTTTTTAATCAGTAGTGGCTGGAGCATGGCTGTCCAACACTCTGATACACCTCACCAATCCCTTCTGAATAAGTGAGGCAAAGTTAAAATAATTTATGGAGAGGAAGACTGAGCAACCTCAGGACCATGGTAGCCAGGAGGTAATGCTTTTAAACTCTTTTATCTCCCTACCAATAAAAAATGCCTATTCCATAAGGCTGCTGTTTGCATTTCAAGGATAGCTTTCATTGATACTTTTCCTCTAAGGCTGAGAGAGGTCACCCAGTGGATTTTTGTGGCAGAGTGGGGATTTGAACCCTAGTCCCCAGAGTCATAGTCTAATGCTCAAATCACTATGCCACACTGGCTCCTACTCTTTTGGCTACCCTTTATTCATTGTGCTAACAGAACTTTCCATCCACCTAAGACTCATGTTAACTTATGGAATGATAGCTTGTCAGATCTAGGGTTAGTCTAGTTTAGGGGTCGGCAACTTCTTCTTACCTGGGGCCGGTCCGCTGGTCTCCAGGTCTTCCGTGGGCCAAGGGGAGGGGAAATGCTGCCACGCATGCTCACTCACACATGCAGTACGCCAGAAGTACTGTGCATGTACGTGCACACTTATTCGTGCATGTGCAGTACTTCGGGTGTACTGCATATGCACGAGCGAGTCACAGCCCCCATTTTGTTTTCCAAAATGGCAGCTGCGACTCATTTGCGCATGCACTGAGTACTGTGCATGTGCAAATGAATCGTAGCTCCCATTTTGGAAAACAAAACGGCGGCTGTGACTTATTCACACATGTGCCAGAGTACTGCGCATGCTGTAACAAGTCACGGCCGCCATTTTGGAAAACAATATGGTGGCCACGATGCACACAGAGATGGCGCGTGTGGCAGCAGGAAGCAGCAGGGATGGGAAGCAGCGACAGCAGTGGCAGGACTGGCCCAGGGCCGGCCCAAAGGCCTTGGGGGGGGCAGATTCAGCCCCCAGGCCGTAGGTTGCTGACACCTAGTCTAGCTGTTTTAAAATACTTCTCATTCCAGTCAAATAGAATGCGATCTGTACGAGTTTGGGGAAAAGGCTTCGTGGTTTTGACTGGAATATTTGCTGAAATCCACAGAAGTGTGCATTTTTGCATGGGTGGCCATCCTTCTGCTTCACATGCATTTGAATGGCTGTATAATTTTGTCAGAGGGAGGCTGAATAGGCACAAATAATGCAAATTTGCACAGGAAAGTGAAGACAATTATTAATGTGAATGTGTAAAAGTGCGGACCAATTCACATAGTACACTTACATATAGATTAGCCCATAGTTTAATATACATTCTTCCTTCTCATTTGCTATAATTTTCACCCTCATTGTTTGTTGTTGTCACTGTATCTCCTCCAAAAGTTTATTTTGTTGTTCATCTTATTTTGTTTGTTTTTCCTATCATAGAATGTTAATAACTGTAAAACAAGAAGGTTAAAAAAAGGAAAAGAATTTTTGTCAGTACTGTGGTATGTTAAAATCTTCTCCCATTCCTTCCACACAAATCCATGGCTGCTGAGGGTTTATCTATTTATTTATTGGATTTTTACTCCACCATTCTCCTGTCCTGAGACCCAAAGTTCCATGGGACACAAAGTTTTCTTATATCTGCTATTTACATAGCAAAACCCAAGCATGTACCTTGAAATGTTTGCCCATTTCGTAACTAAACTCACATATAGGTCGGGCCTCATCTTCACATCTGCTAAACAGGTATTTAAACCTGGTTTTCCTAAATATAAACTAAATGCTTGTTCTCTGTACTGCACTGTTGCTTCTCCCTTGACTTTTAAGGCTGGCTAGATGGCAGATGCTTTCTCCTCACCTGTCTCCTTAGCCCTACACCTATACACCTTTGTGGGATAACCAACCTATGGACGTTATCACACGGGGCAAATCTGCTGGT